GTCAAAAGGAGATTTGATCCCAAGGTAAAATATATTTCCCTACATGTTTATCTACATGTACCATCTTAAACTTTTTGCCAATAGGATTTGTCTCCGTTTCTCTGTGTCGATGTTTGGGATTCGAATTTTGTTAGAATGACTGAACAGTTCCCTTGCGCAATATTTATTAAATAACGTACATTGTCATTCTGTTGATATAATGCAAAATACAACACTTATTCTATCTGTACATAAAAGTTACACAAAAATATTTCTTTTAAAAGGTATAAAAAAAAATATAGCAGTAATATTATTTTTTTAATAATAATTGAAGCATTTATTTTAATGTCTCGCGAATTTCGAGATTTCTTCATGGTTTTTCGAAAATTCACAAAGTACTTAAAACTTTATGTCTTCAATTTTTCGTATATAAATTTTAAGTACTGGACTGAAATTCTTCATGATGGATTCTTTGACTGCACGAGAAATCGGACGAATTTTAAGGAATTCACCATATAGTCTCGAATTCGTTCCGTGATTTCTAATGATTTCTACTTCTCGTTGAGCATTTTTATCAAAAATATGTGAAAAATTGAATAAGTCTCTCTCTTGTGTTTTCCACTGTGTCAATTTTTAATACTTCAGGCATATCTGGAACTATTTTACGATTTGTGACTTGACCTCTTATTGCATGTAATTCGACTTGATTTAAAAAGTCTGCACCGATCAAGATTGCATGTTTCATTATTTGGTTATCAACAACGTGAAATGTAATTTCATATATCTCGCTATCTATAATAACGCTTATTGTAAAAGAACCGTACGTACTATTATTCAACGCACCTACACCGTCAAAATTTACCTTATTTTTTAATTTTGGACAACCTATTTTTTTGTAACAATCTCGGTTTATTAAACTTAAATCACTACCTGTGTCTATGATCTATAACAGTGCTCGGAATTAGTCTGAACATTTCAGCCGATTTCCGTGGTATGCGCCTTCTTTCCTCTCCTTACTGCGCGCGCCGCAGCCGCTATGGCCAGCGCCGCCGAGCGTTAAGAGCGGCACTATCCGATTATGAGTGGGTTCTTCTCCTATTATTAAATTAAAAACTAGAGACTGCCAAGGCACAC